ACTTAATATATATATGTAATACTATTATTAAGCTAGGCAGAGGCTAAGACATCTTAGGAACCAGCCCAGCCTTAAATTTCAGACTCTTACCCCGCCTTCTCCCTTCTTTATTCATTCTTAATAGCAATACACTAGAAAAGGATGCAACGGAGGCGAAAAACAACAAAAGAGGAGCGTGTCTGCTCTATCTGCTCACAGCGATTTGCCAAAGCAGAACATCTCCATCGCCATGTCAGGTCGCATACAAAGGAGAAGCCGTTCACATGCCCTGTATGCGACAAGAGGTTCACCAGGCAGTAGGTCATTGCTCAGCACACGCACTTTGAAAATCTTGCCACTAATCACCACCTAGGGATACGCTTCTGCGACATTCCAGATCACACCAAACTCCCCAACATACGCTCACGGAGGAGACGTCACAGTCTCCAGGGACACAGGATGGCGATAGTATCATGATGGAAACAATTCACATATCTGATACACAACAGGAGCCAGTCCTTCCAGCACCTCAACATAACACTACAAACAGCATCACCGCCTCATCATTAGAAAGTGGAATTGATGAACCGATTACGACCGGAGATACCTCCATAGACAATATGTTCCTCAACGACGACTTAATGGCCCTCGCGGAGCAACAATACTCCTGGCTACCGCAATGGGACGCCGAAATCAATCTCAGGACAGACTGGTTAGCAGAACTTACCAGAGATCAGTCTAATCAGAATTGGCTGGCACCTCCCATGCTGGATTCAGTCACAGAAGCCAGGCCATACTCTCCAGGGCTTAGTCAACCAGCTTCCAGTCAGATACCTGCAGTTACTGAACCAACATCAACAAGCAAACCCGAAAATTGTACCAATAGTAAAAAGTCGGTGCAGAGGAGATGGCACACGAATACGGATCTTGTATCCTCTGGAGAGGATACTCCAGACGCCTCGAGTGATGTTGATCAAATTGATGAAGCGTGTCATCGAACACTCGCGGATAAGTTACGCCTGCCAATCCAAGATGGGCCCGTTCCGTCGATAGCATTTCTCGTGCGTCAACCCATTTACTACGGATATTCAGGCTGACCGTGACTTAGAATCTCGCCATACAAGCATACTTCTCAAACTTCCAGCCTATCTTCCCCATTATACACGCGCATTCATTTCGTCCTCATAGCGAGAGTGGCATCTTGATTCTCTCGATATGCTCAGTAGGAAGCTTTTATCTGGGATCATCAAGGGCTGTATCATACGGTATAAGCATGCACGAAAGACTTCATAAAGCCATGTTATCCTCGGTAATCTGAAAGCTTTGATGTCAACTTCCAATTCTAACATTGATGCAGTGGGATACATATCTGGCAAATCCACGGCGAAGCAATGCAAATATGTTCGGCATTCAAGCGGCCGTCATAGGGCAGATGTTCGGTTTACTCATGGGGGTATGTATTGTGTCAAAACTGGCTGGTGCGTATTATCTAACGATCATGGAACTCAGCGACCAAAATTTCTTGTTCAGGTCGACATGTTTCACGGTACTTGCATTGCAGTAAGTGGTAAAACATGCAAGTGAGTTTGACTAACACATTCAAGTGGACTCGATATCTCAAGCTATCGCAAGCGCAAGCGCAAGAGCCAGAGCTGAATCCTACTCAGCTTAAACACCTTGATGGGCAGGAGTTGGAGGCGGCGTGGAGAAGATGGGCAAAGGGAGAAGAGAGGAAACGGTAAGACTTTGTGTTTTCCCTACTGATAGCCCCAAGCTGAAATATCAAGCCTTATGCTCGCACTTCTGTTACAGGACGCTGAGATCGCTTCCTTGCTTCATCACGATCCATTGGTACGATACTCGGTTGATTCGATACCTGGGACAGCCTCTAAGGAAGCATTTTGCGCACCTGACGCCAAATCATGGAAGACTGTCATGATAAACGAAGCATCATCGTCTTCCATGCTTGAGAGACATACAAGCCAAGATGGTGCCACGCAGTCAAGCCTTCCTCTTGTTTCCAACGACTTTGAGCTGTTGGTCATGCTACGATGCATTGGCGCTCTCCCTTTACTCCAGCAAAACCTGTCAGCATTACAAAATGGTACAAGTCAGTGTCATGACGCTCTAATCTCGTGGTACAAGCGATACCGAGCTTGCATTGCCTTTAAAAAGCAGGAACCTGGTTTAATGATGCTTTGGCACTCTATGTTTATGCTCTCCCGTATGAATCTTGATATTCTGGAATGTTTCTGTGGACGTGAAGGTCCAGCAATTTCTGAGACGTATCGCGAAACAGTGAAAAGCTGGGCGAACTCTGATAATGGTATGCTCTGTGCTATTCATGCTCTGCTTGTCATCAAACATTTTGAGCGTTTACCTATTGGCTCAGAGCCTCCCATTAATTCTGGTCTTTGTCTGTACCGTTGTGGCATTGCCTGGTACTGCTATATTACATTGGCGGACAAGACAGCATTACGCGCCCGTCAAGACCCGAGGATTCCTGAACTACAGGTTGTCGGCAGTACTGGTGGGTTCTCTTTGCTTCAGAACGCTGCATTGAAGGATGTCAAGGTCGGGGCTAGTCTACTATTCAGGATCATCCATCTGTTACAGCGAGCCAGTCACTGGCAATTAAGCCGTAATCTGGCTTCAACACTACTTTCACTTGTAGAGGACGAGACGGAGGTTTTCTGAGTCCGCACCCCAAATCAGATGTACAGTATTTGTAATACTAGTTCATTATAGTCCCGCCACTATACAACCCCTCCCCGCAAGTTCCCCGTGGGACCTATAACAGACTTTGTGGGGAAAAAATGCAACCCCTCCCCACAAGTTCCCCACGGGGCATATAACAGAGTTTGTGGGGAGACAAGGCCTTCTTGACCAAGTCCAAACATGTGATCTATAGATCTCTCCTTGGTGAATAGTTTATAAACTCAGTGGACTGTCCCATATTCCCTTCCTCTGACATTACTTCTGTACCAGCTGGAAACACAATGACTTCTTACAAGACGCACGCAAGCGACGCCGTTAACTATATTACTTCTCATCCTACACAAGGCATACTCTGTCTTGTTTCCTTTGTCGTTCTAATAAACATCATCCAATGGATACGCCAAGTTTTCAGATCAGACCTATGGCGAATTCCTGGTCCACTGCCTGCACGGTTCACGAGTCTCTATAGACCTTTGAAGCTATATACAGGAAATGCCCACGAGGTCTACCACCAACTGCACCTAAAATATGGCCCAATTGTTCGAACTGGCCCAAACGTTGTATCCATCTCAGATCCCAGCGCTATTGCTCTGATCTACTCCATCGGAAGCAAGTTTCTCAAGGTACGCATCCGAACAGCCACACAGTCAATATATATGACCTAATCTTACTATAGTCGTCCTTCTATGATGTCTTCACTCCAATTTACAAGGACAGCCCTATGCCTAGCATGTTTTCCGTCAGAGAGCCTGCGCATCATCAAGCTCTTCGTCGCCCAGTTGCTCAAAAATTCTCCATGTCGTCTATTAAAGCCATGGAAGTCTTTGCCGATGAATGCTGTGATATTTTCATGTCGTCTATGAAAGAGTTACAGGGCACAGATGTCGACCTTGGTGAGTGGCTTCAGTGGTACGCCTTTGATGTCATCTCCGCCATCACTTTTCACCGTCGTTTCGGTTTTATGGAGCAGAGGAAAGATGTGGAACTCATGATCGGTGACATCAGTTCCGCTCTGGAAATTGGGATCATGATCGGTCAGGTCCCTTCTCTCTATCCGTGGACAACGGGGAATAACACCCTTGCCAAGTTTCTGGCGTGGCAACCGTTTGTCCATGTCCCAGATCCTTGTCGAACCGTAGTCAAGGTAATGCATAGGATCCGCTTCTTCTACGGCGCGCTAATGCATTTCCTAGTTTGCCGAACATTGCATAGCAGAATACGACAAGAATCCTCCAGAGCAAGATCGACCAGACCTTCTCGGCTGGCTGAGACAAGAAAATGCAAAAGGGGAGAAAATGTCGCATAGAGACTTGGTAAATCATCTGTCGAATAATCTGTAGGTTTTGCAAGCCGTCGTCCAAGTATTCATAGGCTGGGTAAACTAACAACTACTTAAAGATTCGCAGGCAGTGATACAACAGCCATATCGTTACGGGCGTGTATTTACTACTTGATCAAAAACCCCGCTTGTTTTGCCAAGGCTCAAGCCGAGGTAGACCAGGCAGACCAGGAGGGTAAATTGTCGGACCACGTTAGCTATGCTGAATGTCTCCAACTGCCTTACCTGTAAGTCCTGGGACATCAAAACTAAATTCTACCGGTTTACTAAGACTATGAAGCCAAGCAGTGATGAAGGAGGCCATGAGATGCTGTCCTGGTGTCTCATACCCCCTAGAACGTGTCGTTCCAGCTGGAGGGGCACAACTCTGCGGCGTCCATATACAAGAAGGTACTGTCGTTGGAATCAACCCAGTAGTGATCCATCGCGATCCATCTATATTTGGCCCAGATGCGCAAGAGTTCAATCCAGAACGCTGGCTAGGCTCTGACACAGAGAACATCAAGAATATGGACCGACATCTTATGACGGTGAGACTCTCTGTTGGACTCTATGAGGAGCAACTTTTGGCTAACGTCTCAGTTCGGCTACGGCTCACGTACATGCATTGGAAAGAACATCTCTATTATGGAAATGGGTAAGCTAATCCCAGCTATTTTGCGTAACTTTGATCTCGAATGGGCGAGCAAAGACCGCGAGTGGGTTATTAAGAACTATTGGTTTGCACGCCAGGAAGGTCTAATTTGTAGACTTACGTGGCGAAAGGGCTTATAATAGGCTTCTATAGTATAGAGACCTTAAGCATGTAGCTACAGTTAATACCTCTTATTTTTATATAAGTATAAATACTATCTAAGTATTATATAAGGATTGTAAATGTTATTTCACTTAATAAGAACTTAGCTGTCGCTAGGAAGAGTATAATTCCTGCTAGTTAGCCTTAGGGATTAGACCTTTAGGCCATATAGCAATATAACAAAATAATCTAGTATTGGACTATCTTAAACTTAAACTAGGCTTAGTTAAGTCGTTTTGTCCTGTATAATTAATTGTATGCGTACGTTTCTTGCCTCCCCTTATATACTTATATAGTAGATCTATTTACTAAGATATAAATACAGTATCCCGATTAAGATTAAATTTCTAATTAAAAAGGCTAAGAGTGAGAATTTAAGAGGCCTCGACATAAAGGCGGCACCTTGACGGATCAATGCCACATTTCCAGTTTATGATAGACTTAGATCCGTCTCCCACCACCAGCAGTCGTCTTCCAGAGTATACTTGTCTCTGGCTTTTCTAAACCGAATTGCTATAATCATAATTTTAACTATTATAAGGGGATAAAGTTAGGGGCTTCAAAGCCACACAGTCATAAAGAACACATATAAACACCTATAAGCAGAATATGCCTCCGACTTCACTGCTGCGTATGATGAAGGTTCAGACTGACTGAAAAGCTAGATATTAAAATAACCAGCAGTATAAAGAGCTGCCTGCAGCTCTTCCTTCCGCATAATCCAACGCACTATAAAGAAAGAAAACATAAGGAAAGGTTAAATGGGTTAGTGGCGTTAGTGGAAAAGCTAGTGGTTTAGTCACAGTCAATCATTAAACTTCAATCTAATAACCTTCTTTTATAAATGGTTTGAACACATAACATAATTTCAACATGCCTCAGAGCTCCTGGTCCTGTCTACTTAGGATGTTTGCGCCTGTTAACCTATGGAGATAATGGTTAGTCTAGTGGTAAATGTCTATATCTTGTTTTATCCTAACTAAGTTTCTGGGCCTTTTACTTAATGTTTACTAAACGATCTGTAAGTGTCAGGCTAGGCTTTCTTTTTAGAGCTGCTGCTTCTTGCCTCTTAAGATCTATTATAAATTAGATTGCTATTTTAGGGCTGACTTTTATAGTTTAGATAAAGCTAGCAGGCGTCTTATAGTATAAGATTACCTTGCCCTTATAATGCAGGCTACTAAATACTATAGGTTTACTAAGGCTTTCTATTAATCTAGTCTATATTAATAATATAAGGAGGTTATTAATTTCTTAAGTAGTGAAAATATCCTTTCTTTATGCTTATATTTAATATAATATAAAAAAGAGGGACTTAAACAGTAGCTAAATATTATAGTATCTTCTTAAGGATTTAGAAAAATCTTTAGTCTTTTTAACTTCTTATTCTAGCAGTATAGGAAATAGTAAAATATATAAATTCTAAACCCTCCTAGGTAAAATGCATTTTAAGGCATTAAGTAAGAGATATAAGTAAGCTTCTAGTAAAAGTTAACAATATCTATAAGTATAGGCTCCGTAGCCCCAGGTTCTAGTCTTAATTTAATGGGCTTGGCTATATAGTGGCTATAATTAATATCAGATTTATATAACTTAAATTACTAGCGGTAAAGCCTTATATTAACAAAGCATAAGACCCTATCTCTATATATATTTAATCTATCTTTCTCGGGATTAAAGAGGTATATTGCAGTATACTTATTATAGTAGTCAATGAGGTGCTTAAGGCTGTAGTATCTCTATTTAAGGTCCCAGTCCGGGGCGGCCTTGTTAACTAGAAGATTCTAATGCAATAGTAAGTAAACAAACAGTATATAAATGTTTTCTCAGTAGTGCTTCTCTTTAAGTCTTTATAGTTAGTACAGTATCTCGTCCCTGACGTAAAGAAGTGCTTGCGGTTGAGCCGAGTCTTTATCTATATATTGGCCATGCCGCATAGTATCCGTGGTTTACAGTCGCTGACGAGTTTCTTAAATAATATAGTAAGCAGGTTGTCTTTCAGGAGCTTAGTGCATATCGGATCTAGGGGATATAATTAGATATTTTAATTAAGAATAAAGAAAAAAAAAGAAAAAGAAAATAACCTAAGATATATACTTATACTTTAGGCACTGCAAGGCAAAGAAAAACAACTTAAACTCTATTATATATTAAAATATCTTTAGCTGCCTTATATTAAAAAGAGTTCAAGTAGTAAATAATAAATAATTATTAAGTAAAACTTAAAATAATTTAAAATAAGCTTAAAGGCTACTTAGTAAGTATATCTAGATCCTTAACTGTATTTTATAATTTATATTCTCTAAGGT